GTTTTTCTCCGGTACCGGGAACCGAACTCACGAACTTGCGCTTGCCAGGCAGGCGCTTTTGCCGCTGAGCTAAATCCCCAGCCCCCAGAGCTATTATTTATTTAGCTTTTCAAGAGAGGGTCTCACTATGTAGTTCAGACCAACCTTGAACTCACTGTGTAACCCAGGGGTGGCCTCGAACAACAATCCTCCTCCCTCAGCTTCCTGAGTGGTGTGATTATAGGCATGTGCCACCGTACCCGGCTCATGAGAGCCACTTAAGCCCTTCAGTTTTTATGATTTAGAAGTTATTTTTTACTTAAGTGAATTTACTTACCCAGAATTATGTAATAAAGTTAGGTGTGAATTTGAGATTACAGTGTTTGGTTGAGGTCAGCACCAGATTTCCATCTTTTGGCCCTAAAACAGTACATTTGGGTTATATCACAGTATGTCTTTTTCATTTATGCTAACTAGTTAATATGTCTTATTTCCAAACCTGGGTTACAGGCAAGAGATTTTAGTCTGTTTTACTTCTATTTGAACATAAATTATGTCCTTCCCATGAATGTTTTCCAATAGGATTTAAAGCCTCAGACATTTAGAAATGCTTACGACATACCAAGACGGAATCTTTTGGATCACTTAACAAGAATGAGATCAAATCTTTTGAAGAGCACCCGCAAATTTCTTAAAGGACAGGATGAAGGTTAGATTATGATTTTAATACTTGATAATTTTTTGAATTTTTCCTTTATAGTCTGAAAAAGCATACAACACTAATGCAATATTTAAAGTATTACATTCTTATTGTAAGTTTAAGCAAATGAAGTGAAAATGAATCATCGGTTTTTTTCATTTCCTTTGTACCGTCACTGTTGCCCCAAATTCTGTTCCCCAGAAGTGGCAACCTTTGTTGCCACTAAGAAATTAGGTTTCTTTTTAGGTTTCCTCACATAGTCATACACATAAGATACTAACACATAATCATTTTCTTGTGGTACATTAGTATCTGATAAACTCTGGGTGGTCATTTTATGGCATGTTCTGGTGTCTCCTTACTCTGTCTGTGGGACTGTGTCCATGGCAACTACTGCAAGTCATTTAAACCCTTGCCATCTGTGATTTAAGCATGTGAGTTTTAGTTTTATATCTGTGCAATTTTTCTACTATTTTCTAAAAATTCTACTATGATTAAATTTTGTCTGATTAGAAGAGATAGACCTTTTATGGCAAGTTTACACGTATTGCTTATTCAGTGCACTGAGTTAACTGCAATATCTTTATTTTGTTTGGTTTTTCTCCGGTACCGGGAACTGAACTCACGACCTTGCGCTTGCCAGGCAGGCGCTTTTGCCGCTGAGCTAAATCCCCAGCCCCAATATCTTTATTTTGTTTAGGAGGTGAAATCAAAGTTTTACTTTAAAATCTCAGATTTTGTCATAATGTTTATAGTTGCACTAACCAAATTAATTTACAATATATAATAACAGAAGACTGTCTTGAATAACAAAAGGTAGCACTCATATTTGATTATTAGGTGGGAGTATAATTTTAATGTGGTTAATTTATGTTACGTTTTCTCTGAAAAGATCAAGTGCACAGTGTTCCTATAGCACAAATGGGGAATTACCAGGAATACCTCAAGCAAGTACCTTCTCCACTGAGAGAACTTGATCCTGATCAGCCTCGAAGGCTGCATACCTTTGGGAACCCCTTTAAACTGGATAAAAAGGTAATTTTGAAATGTTCTGTTACATAGTTCGTTTGCAATAGGCACTGTCAACTTAGTAGTTTGTAGTTCTTAATATAGCTAAAGCTAAAACTTTCTTGGTAGAGTAGTAAATGTCGACATAGTTAGAATATACGGTACCATGATACCTTGGTTCATGAAGTTAATTTGTTTTATGATTTTGAGGACTATAGCTGCTTTGGTGTTGTGTGGGGAAGAAGATGGCTGCAGTTGTTTTTGTCACCCCGTATGGAATTAGTGAACAGAAACAAAATTTTGTCGAACACTTTAGTTTAAGAACTGAATTGTTCGCAAACAGAAGCATTTGTGAGCTGAGGCGTTGCTGTAGTTGTTGTAAGTGGAATTGGGATTACTTATGCCATTTCAAAATTGTAAATTCAATAAAATTACATTTTTTAGTACAAAGTTCAGTGGTACCTCCAGTTCACTCTGTTCAGTTCACTTGATTCACTTGGTTCAATTATGTCCATGATTCTGGTTGCAAACTGAACTGGGTGAAAACTTATCAAATTTCCCCTTAAGGTCAATATTGAATCTAACCATAGAATTTGATTCAGTTCTCGTCTAACTTGGTTTGTGACCAGAATTGTGGAAAAAATCAAGTTTGTGAACTAAAGAATCACTGTAGAAAATTGGTTATAAGAAGCTGTGGAATCAGAGATAAGGAGAAAGAAGACACTGATCAAAGGGTAACAAGTCTCAGAAATTGAAAGAATAAGTTTTAGTGATCTGTTGCACTGCATGGTGACAATAGTTAATAAAAATTATTAGGTATTTCAGAATGCTAAAAGAAGATTTTTATTATTCTCACCACAAAAAATGAAGTGATAGATGTTAATTAGCTTAAGTCTTTCTACAGTGTATAAATAGAGCAAGCTATCACATTATATGCCATAAATGCAGTTATCTGTCAATTTAAATAAATGATAAACAATTTAAAAATTGAATGTGAATCTGAGAAAATTATATTGTTTTTTAGGGAATGATGATAGATGAAGCAGATGAATTTGTGGCTGGACCTCAAAATAAACATAAACGACCTGGAGAACCAAATATGCAAGGGATCCCCAAAAGACGTCGATGTATGTCTCCACTACTACGAGGCAGACAGCAGAACCCTGTTGTGAACAATCATATTGGAGGAAAAGGACCACCTGCACCTATAACTCAAGCACAGCCAGATCTTATTAAACCCCTTCCACTTCATAAAAGTAAGAGTTAAAGACATTTCCTGCTTTTTGGTTCTTTCTTAAAAAAAGAGATTTTAGCCAAGAGATTTTAGCTAAGCTTTCAAAGGAGTATTACCATACTGACAGAAAGATGGCTTTCAATTTCAGTTAAACACAACTGATTATTAAATATGTATACTGTTTAATGTATACAGTATACATTAAATATGTATACTGTTTCTACTAGGCATACAGGTATAGCAAGGAATGAGTAAGACAGTGGTGCTTTCTACCCTCATTTACAATAAATGGGCAAGAAAGCCATTGAACAGATAATTAGAATTGTGATGAATGTTTCAAAAGGAAGTATATTGTGGAAATGTTTGGTAAGAGTATTTAAATTAGTTGACGAGGCCAAGGTCCTTTTCTTGAGGAAGTTATTTTAATGGATGAATTGGAATTAGTTAAATCAAGCCATGCATTTGCCTATACCAGAAGAGTAATCTGAGTTTATATATATTAAAAAAAAAGGACTTTAAGGGTCCTAAAGTGTACCAGGGGCTGTTAGTCATGAGGTAAGGTAAGAACTGAAGAACCCAGGTATGGAGGGCTTTGGAAGCTCTTGTAGACTCTCTAAGCTAAAGATAAAATGCATTACAAAATTTGAAAGGGGGTGATCTGATCTAATTAGCATTTTATAAAGACCACGCTGACAATAATATGTGGAATATTATCAGAGAAAGGCAAAAATGAATGTAGGGAAGTCTTAAAGAACTAATGAATTTATTAACAAGTAACGACCATTCCTGGTTTATAACATCTCAACTGGAAAAGAAACCAAATACTACATACCCCTTGATGGAATTATACAGTACTCCCTCTGAGATGGACTTGACCCTTTCCCCTACACTCCCTCAAAATTAAATGTGAATGTGCTCTAGCCTTTGGATCTAACTACCAATTCAAAGGAAGTACAAGGAATGCAGAAACAGGTTAAATGCAAAACCAGGGATAAAATTAGCAAAATCCAGATAGTAAAAAAACTCTACAAGAGAAAGAGATGGTTGCATACCACCACCATGTCCAAGAAAAAAATGCATAGTAAAAAGAGAAGTGTAGAACACCACAGTTTTGCATCTGGGCTTTGCACGTGCCCTGACCTCCTGGAGGTCACAAAACAGGCGGTCCATGATCACCACCAGTGCAGCCCGCATCTGGCTCCTGCGCGTGCCCTGAGCTGCCTGGAGATATGGAATCAGGCGGTCCGCAATCCGCTGACATCACCTTCATTGCTGAGCACTGAGAGAACCAGGTAGACTCTGCCTGCTTCCTGGGGACAGAACAGGCTAGCTGTGATTCTGCTGCTATCATAGTCTGTCTCCACCCTCTGTGCACTCAGTGCAGCAAGGAGATACTGGCTCAGAAGGCCCACGAACCGCTAACACCGGGTGTTGCATTTGGGCCCTCCCTGCACGTGCCCTGCGCCGCCTGAGGTATTAATTAGATCAGGTGGTCCACCAACTGCTGACACCGTGGTTTTTCTTCTAGGCTTTGCACACGCCCTGACCTCTTGCAGGACATAGAAACAGGTGGTCCAAGATCACCGCCAGTGCAGCCTGCCTCTGAGTCCTGCGTGCACCCTGAGCTGCCTGGAGACACTGAATCAGGCGGTCCATGAACTACTGACCCTGTGGTTCATGTCTGGGCTCTGCCTGCAGCCTGAACTGTCTGGGGACAGTGGACCAAGTGGTCCATGATCACGCTACCAGTGCAGCCCGCTTCTGGGTCATACATGCATGTCCTGAGCTGCCTGGGGACACTGGATCAGGTGGTCTGTGATCCACCGACATTGTGGTTCACGTCTGGGACTTGGGAGAACTAGGTACGCCCCACCAACTGCTGGAATACCCCAGAGTGGGCAGCCCATCTTGGCAGCCACTGAGGGGCAAGTCTGACCACCAGGAAAACTAGGGACACTAGTGACCTTTGCTGAACTACCAGGGAAGAGGGAGACTGAGCGCTCTGCCTCTGGCATCAAAAATGACAGAATAAAGGACTAAAATGCAGTCTCAACCACTCAGAACAAGTCCAGGAGATACTGACATACGAGCACTTGGTAAACACACTCCTGAAATTGCTGAAATGATTGCAATGGAAATAAAGAAACAACTCCATCAAGCCATAGAAGATATCAGATTAGAAATAATCTCTCAGGTAAAAAATGAAATGACAACAGTAATGAAAGAAGTGCTCAGCACATCTAAAGAAGACATATAAAAAAATAGATGATCATAGGAAACTGATGGAAAAGTTAAATGATAAATATAGTAGTGAACTAGAATGCATGAAACAGGTTCAAACAGATACCAAGGAAATCAAAACTTGCAGTGAAAGCTGGCAAAACTGAATGAAGCTGAAAATAGGATTTCAGATCTTGAAGACAGCATGGCAGCTAACAATTGTGAAGGGAAGGATCTCTTAAAATTAACAAGGAACCGGGAAAAATCAATTCAACAACTGCAAGATGAGGCAACACAAACGACATAAAAAGAATATTTGCAAAAATACTAGCAGAAAATTTCCCAAGCATGGAAAAAGATTCTGACATACAGGTAAAGTGAGGCATATGGAACTCCAGCTAGTTATAACCAGAATAAAACTACACCCAGACATATAATAATCAAGATCCTAGACATACAGCAAAAGAACAGAATATTAAAAGCCAAGAGAAAAGAAACAGGTCATCTATAAAGAAAGCCCATCAGAATCACAGCAGGTTTCTCAGTACAAACAATCCAATTGAGAAGAGCTTGGAGTGAAGTATTACAGGTCCTCAGACAAAACAGCTTCCAACCAAGACTGATGTATCCTGCAAAACTATCCTTCAAATTTAATGGAGAAATAAAATATTTCCACGACAAAGAAAAACTGAAAACTTCCTGAGTGCCAAACCATCGTTGCAAAGAGTACTAAAAGATATTCTAGGCAGAGAAAAACATGACTGCAATTTCAAGAACAACAACAGAAATGAACTATCAAGAAGAGCAAGCAATTAAATAGGAAAAGTAGGAAACCAACAGCAAGTAAATAATGTGACAATGATAAGTCAGCAAATATTGGTTATAACCATAAATGTAAATGGCCTCAATTCACCAGTCAAAAGAAACAGACTGGCAGAGTGGATTAAGAAACAAACTGCAATGATATGCTGTATACAGGAAACACATTTTACTCAAAAGGAAATCCATAGACTGAAAGTCAAAGGATGGAAAACAATTCTGCATGCAACAGGAAGTCAGTAAAAAGCTATTACATTTGCAACATAAACTTCAAACCAAAAACAATCAAAAGAGATAAAGAAGGTCACTACATACTTGTTAGGGGAAAACTGCAAGAGGAAGAGATAACAATCATGAGCATGTATGCACCAAGTATGGGGGCACCAAACTATATAAGACAAATCTTAACAGACTTGAAAAACCAAGTAATTAATAACACTATTGTAATAGGGGACCTCAACACCCCTTTGACACAAAGAGATAGGTCAACTAGACAAAAAATAAGCAAAGAAATAACAGATTTGAACAAAATCTGTGAACAAATGGATTTAGTAGATGTATAAAGACTGTTCCACCTCACAAAATCAGAATACACATTTAACCCAGCTGCACATGGGACATTATCTAAAATAGACCACGTTGTAGCCCATAGAGCATACCTAACTAAATGCAAAAGAATTGAAATTATCCCATACATATTATCTGACCACAGTGCAATGAAGTTGGAAATTAATGACAAAAGGAACTCCAAAAACTCCATAAATGCATGAATATTAAATAACAACCTCCTAAACAACCAATGGGTCACAGAAGAAATTAAAAAATACCTAAAAACAAATGAAAATGTAAATACAACTTACTGGAATCTGTGGGATGCAATGAAAGCAGTCCTCCTAGGGAAATTTATAGTGGTAAACTCACACATAAGGAAAACAGAAAGAGAACAAATAAATAGCCTAATGCTGCAGCTCAAACTTCTAGAAAAAGAAGTCAAGTCCAGAGCCCAAAGAAGGGAGGAGATTATAAAGATCAGGGCAGAAATTAATGCAGTTGAGACAAAAAAAAAAAAAAAAAACTACAAAAAATAAATGAATCAAAGAGTTGCTTCTTTGAAAGAATAAAGTTGATAAACCCCTAGCCAACCTTATCAAAAAAAAGGAAAAAACTCAAATTCATGCAGTAAAGGATTGAAAAGGATAAAATCACTACAGTCCTACAGAAATTCAAAAGATCATTAATACCTACTTTGAAAATCTCCCATAGGTTAGAAAACTCAGAAGAAATGGACAGATTCCTTGATATGTACGAATTACCAAAGTTGAATCAAGAAGATACAAAAATCCTGAACAACACAGTATCAATTAATGAGATTAAAAATGTGATTTTAAAACTTACCAGCAAAGAAAAGCCCAGGCCTTGATGGATTCACAGCAGAATTCTACAAGAAATTCAGAGATTTCTTGCCAACACTCCTCAAACTCTTCAATGAAATTGAAAAGGAAGCAGTTCTCCCTAACTCATTTCTGGAAGCAAGTATTATACCAAAACAGGAGAAAGACCCAACCAGGAAAAAGAACTATAGACGAATCTCACTAATGAACATAGATGCAAAGATACTCAATAAAATACTAGCAAATAGAATGCAGCAAGTGATCAAGAAAATCATACACCATGACCAAGTTGGATACATTCCAGGAATGCAGGCTTGGTTCAATATACACAAATCAATAGATGTTATACACCATATCAGTAGAGCCAAAGACAAAAACCACATGATCGTCTCAGTAGATGCAGAGAAAGCTTTTGACAAAGTCCAACACTCATTCATGATAGAAACCCTATAGAAAATAGGAATAGATGGTCTTTACCTCAATCTGATCAAAGCCACCTATGGTTAACCAACAGCCAGCATCATACTAAATGGACAAAAACTAAAAGCTTTCACTTTAAAATCAGGAACAAGATAAGGATGTCCACTGTCAC